CATGGCACTCACTCTAGCCCGGGCAAAAGAGTGAGACTCTGCCTCAAAAAAAAAAAAAAAAAAAATTTTAAAAGTTCTAGCCAGCACAGCGAGGTGGCTCACTCCTATAATCCCAGCATTTTGGGAAGCCTTGGTGGGAGGATCAGTTGAAGCCAGGAGTTCGAGACGAGCCTGGGTAGCATAGCCAGACAAGACTCAGTCTGTGCAAAAAATGACGATAGATAAGGTTCAGAAACCACTGCTAGCCTGCCACCCGCCTTACCACCAGGCCGAGTGACACCTGGGCCCCCATGCACCAGGAGAGAAAGGGCCTCGATGACCTTCCAGCTTTCTGAGGGATGATCAGAGTCAGGAGCCCCCAGTAGGGGACATCTGCGGGATCCGGAGTGGCTCCACCACTGCAAAGTACTTTTGGGGACAGCAACTCAGGACATTTTGCTACCTGGCGGAGGAAGCGGGGAAAGTTATTTTCAGTCCTTAAGGGCTGGGGTGTAGCCAGCTCAGCTTTGGGGCCAATGTGTTTTCTGTGCACCATTTCGCTGGCTGTGAGCCGGCTGTGTCCAGCCCCCATTCCCCAGGTGAGACAGAGCTGGACCACAGCGTAGCAGGGGAGGGATCTGGAATTCCCATGGCAGGTTCCTTCCTTTGTTCATTCATCATTAGCCAGATTTGTGCAGCTGTTGTTACGGTGCCTCTAGCGAGTGCCAGGCTGCGCTCAGAATTCACGGTGAGCAAAACTGACAATCCCTGTCCCAAGGAGCTTACCTGGCATCGGGGAGGCGGGCTTCGGCAAGCACAAATGATGATGTGATCATACACTGAACGTGCGCGGAGTGGGAATGGTGTGGGGCGGGGAGCTGAAACATTAAGGCAAGATAGGTGAGACGACTGTAGGTGAGAGGAAGTGTTTGTGCAAAGGCCCTGAGGCCAGCTTTCCAGGAACTGAAAGGCTAGTGTGGCAAGAACCACAGAAGGAAGAGAGCGGCAGGGGCCATCCATGAAGGTCCTCAACCACATTAGGGATTTTGTCTCATCCTAAGAACAAAGGGGAAGCCAAAGGTTCATAAAGGGAATGACAGGGACAAACTTGGTTATTAAAAGCCACTCGACTGAACATGGAGCCAGCGGTGGGAGAGCCCGGCATGAAAACAGGAGCCAGTGGGGGCTGCTGTGGGGCTCAGGAGGGAAGACGAGTGAGACAGGCAGAGTGACTCAGGTGTCTTCCAGGAGAACCCACGGGCCCCTGATTGGAGGTGGTAGGAGAAGGGTGTCCAGGTTGGCCTCTGGATTTTGGGCACACACAGTGGGCGGGATGGAGGGGTCCCTCCCTTGCTGAGGGAGACCAGAGGGAGGACAGGGGTGTGGCTTAGGTTGTAAATTCAGCTTTGAGCATTTGCAGTGGACCCTTTAGAGGCACCCACTGGAGTCCTCTGCCCGCGGTCCCCAGCCTGGAGCCCCACTAACTGCACGCAGGCACCTCTCATCCTTCAGGTCCCACTACACAGCCACCCCCACGGCCTCTGACTGGGTCCCCATATTCTTCAGTGTCTGCTGATGGCTTCCATTAGCCACAGGTAGGGGTTGCCTCATGCGACGGCTGTGCCTCCCCCTCTGGAGAGCAGGGACCCTGGCTCTGAACTACTGTTGAATGAACGGGTGAAATGCCCCCGAGCCACTGGGCAGCCATCTCGAGGTCTCGGCTCCAAGGAGAGGTGCAGGAGGGGTGCACTCTGGGGCTCCCGGCACGGGCGGGTGGGCTGGCTGAGGCCAAGGCGCCAGCTCCTGGCTTTGGGGCACTCACTGTGCAGCGGGAGGGAGGACGGGGCTGGCGAGAGGGGTGGGAGCAGCTGGGACTGAGCTGAGACCAGATCATGAGGGATCTTCCCTTGGGGAAGGTGGCTCCTGCACATTCGGCTCCAGAGAATCAGAAATTCACTCAGCACCAATTCCTCGGGCTCCCGTTTGATGTTCCGGGCAGAGGAGGCACCCTGTCCCCTGGGCTAACACTGCTGCGAGATGGAGGAGACAGGATTAAAGGAACAATCACAAATAATGAATCACAGCTGTCACAGGAGACAGCTGGTGGCTACTTGGAAGGCTGAGGTGGGAAGAGCGCTTGAGGCCAGGAGTTCAAGACCAGCCTGGGCAATGTAGCAAGACCCTGTCTCTAGAAAACAAACAAAAAAAAAGTGAGGGAGACAGCACAGGCTAAGAGTCATCTGAAGCTCCTTCCCACCCTGAAAATCCAGGACCTGGCGGCGGGGTGGGGAGAGCTGCTCTGGGTGGGTGTGCGTGTGGAGGTGGGTGCAGAGGTGGCGCAGGCTGGTGCTGAGGAGTCCTGAGGGATTTGTAGCACTTTCTGTTGCAAAGTCCTGGGTGACACAAACTTTGGCCCTCCTCCAGTGAGCCGGGAGCTTCCCCGGGCTGTGAGGGCCACTGGGGTATCCCGGGGGTGGGGGCATCTCCAGTCTCCTGCTGGGAGA